ATATATATTCGGGACACACAGACATATATACTAATTACATACATACTTATATACTTAAATGCATGTTTTTATTTGAATATACAGTTCCTGTCCATTCATAGGATGATTTGATGGAGCTTAAGAAGCTTATCTTAAGTAAAAAAGTCAAAATTATCAGTCTTATAAAAACTAGTTTTTGAAATCCGAATTTCCATCATATCATAGATGAAGTAGTACGTATAAATACATTAAACATAGTGTTCTGTTAATTTTGTACATTTCAGAACAACATTCCTGTTGTAAATTTCTCTCGCAAATATAAATTAACTACAACGAATTGGGAATTGTCGACAGATTTAGCCAGTTCTGTCAGGAACAATTATTCCACAAGCAACGCGTGCTCCAGAATTCCCTGTAGTAGAGCTATCATTAGCGGTTCCCTGTCCCAAATCATCTTGACCAGCGTGAACAACTACAGTCCTTCCAACGATACTTTGTGGCCCTGTTAGTGAAAGTCGCCCTCCTCCGATGAAGAATCTGAACCTTGCCACTCCATTTTGCTAAATACGGAATTATACGTGTCGTAAGATGTTGAGCGATCAATAGTAATGATTTTTGACTTGAAAAGCTGAGTGAACAATCTAAGGGATTTTCTCGAACATTTTTCAGAAAATTGAAGAAGTTTAGAGATATTTTGAAAAATATACTGCTCTGAGTTCGTCTATTTTGATTTTGAATAATTTTAACAAGTGATTGTTTAACATACCCTGGCAAAAATGTTTCCAAGATCGCCAACATGTCGTATGGCACTAGTTCGAGAACCGTGAGTTTGATTGTTAGGATTGTAGTGAGGTCCAGCATTCAAACAACCATTACCCAAATCTCCTATTGCGTGAACGTGCATACCGTGAAATCCTGGCGTAAGGCCTACCACCCTGCCATTCACCTAAATTTCAAATTTTCTATTCAGCCGGGCGCTTATATATAAAAGCTCGCTGTAACCTACAAGCATTCGATTTCCTCTTTGTCTGAAGTTGACGAAACCGACAGGTACGGAAGGATACGCACCAGGAACCGCTCGAAACATTGTGGCCTGAGCTCTAAGTGCTGCTCTTTGTGGAGCGCTGGGAGCACAGCAGGATGAGTAATAGATCAAATAGAAGGCTAACAGAATTTCTCTAAGCATCGTTCTAGAAACAGAAGAATAGTTCATACGAGTAAATTGAGTTAAATGTTTTACTAAAAAGAGGCAACCAT